GGTAGATGAAGAAGCAGAAAAGGATCTAGGCACTCTATCCATAGTTGATTTGACGATCTTGAATGCTAGGTGAAACAACATTAAGGGGTTCCCTTCATGTTATCTAAAATTTTAGTTTATGAATATTATTGGTAGGTTGTAATTTAAAATTATGAGCAAGTTATAAGATATGGGTTTTTCTTTCTTAATAAATATGATTTTTTTCATGGATCGAAAAGCGTTTAACCCTGATTTGTAGGTTTCATTAGAAACTTTCTTAGATCTTAGGAGAAAACGAGTACACCACAAAAATTAGGGAGAAGCCCAAACAAAGCTGCAACAACACTATGCCAACATCAGACTAGACAGGAGCAAAGCGTTGTTCCAAACCTGTAAAACAAAACCAGCAGACTCACCAAGTAACTCACTCCCCACATACTTGACTTGACCATCGAAACACTAGAAGAGCATATCATTTAAAACCAGCCTTAACAAGATCTTCACCCTTAAAAATACCTTCCTTGGAGTAAAACCTATACTAACCTTCCCACTAAGAAACTGCAAGAACTAACACACATCATACTACATGGAATATTATTTTATTGAAAAAATTTTCTCTAAAACTTTAACAAAATTTTTCCTCTAAAACTGCATGGTGCTTTCGGGTTAGAGAAGTCTCGGTCGAGACATAAATGAAGTAGGGGAGATGGAGAGTGTTTCATCTTCGATTGACAATGGTTTGAACTTCTTCGTTCGTTGAAGGTGACGTTCGGAGTGATGATCACTGATGAACGGTTGTCAGCGGCATGGGTTTAAGTCTGCAAGGTTCATGGTTGTAGAGAAGATGGAGTTATGGATGGAGTTGTGGAGAGGTATAAAAAGGGGTAAATTGATATTTTATTCCTGAACTATTTTAAGTTTACAAAAGATCTATGATTAGTAATTTATTTAAAATTTAAAGATTAAAATAAAAATTAAATTTTTTATTAATGTGTCATGTCATCTCAATTATCAAATTTTAATAAAACAATAACGTAAGTGACCAAAACTTATGTTTTTTGAATTTAATAACCATAGATTTATAAAACTCAAACAAAAATGACTAAATAAATAATTTAATCTTTAATAAATATAAAAACAGAAAATACAAATTATATTTTATCTTTCCTCTTTATTTTTTCCATTATCCATCTTTATCTTTCCCACAAAAAGCCCATTAACCTCAAAACATACAAAAGCAAAGGGGACAGGTGTAAGATACATGGGTAGGCACATATGCAATGCTTCCATGCATCTTATTTTACTGCTCATCCGTGATTTATGGCCTCCTTCATCATTCTATCGAAGTTGGTAAGGGAAGAACCTCCGCAACAAACGGCAGCTTCAGCTTTGTTCTTCCAGTCCAAGGCCTTTCGCCTTATCATTTGACCATTATCTCCTTCCATCATCTCTTTAACAAGAGCCTCCACATCTTCAGCCCTTACGTTGGGGTTGATTTCCATGCCCATGCCCCATGTGGTGCATGAATACCGACAATTCGTATGTTGATCCGCGAAGAAAGGCCAGCATATTAAAGGCACACCTTCGGTGACGGCTTCCATTAAAGAATTCCATCCGCAATGTGTCAAGAAAAGCCAACCGCTGGGTGGGACAACACTTGTTGTTGGGTACACCAGCTTGTTATGAGACCCCTTTCCTTTATCTCCTTCATGAATTCTCTTGCCAAAATTGCTGATTCATCCATCACAACATCCGGCCTAACTACCCATAAATATGGGTATTTACACTTTGCAAGTCCCCATGCAAATTCTTTCAGATGCTTCTCCGACATCACAGTTATGCTTCCATAGTTCACGTACACAACTGAATTGGGTTCCCTTTTGTTAAGCCATTCTATGCACTTTGCATCTTCTTTCCATAGGCTTGAGTTCATCGACTTGGATGGGCCGTCAGGCATGTGCCTGACGAGCAAATGAAGTGGTCCTGTTGTATATATTCGAGGGAATGTTGCAGCGATTGCTTTTAAAACTTCATGTTCGAACTCATCGAATGTGTTGAAAATGATTGCTGATGCTTTTAGGCAATTTTGTACTTCGGATCCCATGAAATCAAATAAGATATCATATGGATTGTTGGCTCTAATAAAGCTTGGCATATCTTTGAGGCGAATGTTACTCATTCCAGGGATCCAGTCAATAGGTTTATCAAGAGTTCCATCGCTGAGAAATGTTTCATCTGACACCACAAAGAGTCAAATCTTGATTTCTTTCCAGACAATTTTCATAGATGTGACGTTGAATTCTTGAAATAAAAAAGTACTTACTCTGGAATGGAAATATGCCGCTTTTAACTAGTTCGGTGAAGTGGAGATATCCCATGAAACTGCAAGCTTAGGCAGTCCAAAACTGAACTTCTGGTATGCCAAGTACTTGAGCAGCCTCAATAGCAAACCTCATAACTCCATCCGAGACTATGCAAGTAGCATTGGGCAGTTGGGGCGTGGAGTTAATCTTAGACAGTAGCTCTAAAAATGGTGCCAAGCAATTCTTTCTTGTCGAATCAGATAGAGCTCGAACGTCCTGTGTTGCATCACTATTGGATGATGGCAGTCCATCCGGGATCGTTTCGAATCTGAAATCGGGCAGCCCTTTAACGGAGTCTGGCCCTTTGGACCTGATCAAACGCCTATGGTTGAACTCGGTGTTAACAAAGGATATGAATAAGCCTCTTGAATGTAAGAGCTGAGCCAGTTGCATCATGGGAAATTTAAATAGGCACTATGGCTTATTAGGATAATATATATATATTAGTCATGGCTTATTAGGATATATATATAATATATATATATATATATATATTAGTCTCGACTTTTATTTAGTTAATTCATTTGAGAAGATGACATTACACAAGCCTTAAAAAATTGCCTACAATATGATGTCAGCTATGCTCTAATTTAGGAGTATGTGTTACTTCATCTCGTTTGGGCCGATCTGAATCATTTTACTATTATTGAACTTATGGTATAATGGTAAACTATACTCTTTGAATTGAAGTTTGGTTTCAATTAGACCTCATCAACTGATTTTAATAGTGAAAAAGAATATTATTTTTTAAGAAATTATGGATTCGAACAATTGCATAAAGTGTGTACGTATTATTAATTGATTAAATTTTTTTAATAATTTCCGTCTAACATCACGTACTTCACTTAAAACCTATTCTGGATTGAATCTAGATCTGAACAGGTCTGCAATCCCATATTTCTGATAATTCCTTTATTTATTTATTTTGAGAATATGTTTGTACTATTTGTTTGCATTCCAAACAAGATCAGGAATGATCGGTCAAGAACAGAAATTTTCTTTGGTCACCAATCTGATTGTTTGGGTAGATTGGATGAACTCAATCATAATTTATAAAATACCAATACTAAGTTTTTTTTAATAATTATTATTATATATATATATATATTACAATTAGTGCAAAATTTTTAATTATATCATTTTTAAAATAAAAATAATAAAATAATTGAGTGAGTGAAAATAAACTGTTAATATTATCTCATTATATATATATATATATATATAAATGCGGTTAAAATATATATGATGTGATTAAAATATAGATATATTTAAGATTCAATCATACATACACAATTTTTAGAATAATGGTTAATAACATAATTTTTAAATATAATAGACACAAATAAAATTTCTTTATAGATATTATTATTAAAATAAGTAATTAATTAGAGAATATTCTGATTTCAAAATAAACATATATCTACCATCAAAATGTCAATCCACAAACACAACAAATAATATACTAAATACAAATAAGTTAAATCATAAATTTTATCCATGTATTATACTTTATTTAAGAATTTAATTTTTCTTTTTACTACTATTAATGTCGTGTCTTATAATAGGGTAAACTACATCATTTCATCACTCAATTTTATTCTCTCTCCTATTTAACTTATTGTACTTTTAATTTTTTCAATTTAACCACTCGACTTTTGTTTTGCTCATATTTTGGTCACTATATGATGACACGGATTATTTTATAAATATTTTCATATGATGTCGTATTATTTATTAATATTTTAATGCCACATAAAATTATAATAAAAATAAATAAATAAAACCCAAATTATACCCTTAAATTTAAACCTAAATTCTAAACCCTAAACCCCAAATCATACTTAAACCATATATCAAACCCTAAATCCAAATTTACAACCATGCCCCACCCTCATCCTTCTACCGGTGGGCAGTGGCTCATCGGTCATTGTTCTAGTTGTTATTTGGAAACCAATTTGATTAATCGATTTCAGCACTGAATTTGTTTACTAAAGAAACCAACAACATGCTCGCATAATTTCCAATTGAAATTGTTGTCCAAAACAGTGTTGTAGCACCGAATTCCATGTGCCCAGTTGACATGAATGCCTCGACTATTCTTATTCGGTGCATGAGTTGCTTCTTTACACTTCACTTCAATAAAGCATGTTACCATAGTGAATTATATTGAAATCAAAAATACGATTCTCATCTAGTGCAAGAAGGTGATGCCCCAATCAAGCCTTGTGTATGTTTGATAAATATGGATTAAAACGCGGTCATAAAAGGCTATGGTGGAGAGCATTGAAAGGCTCCAGTCGAAACTAAAAAAGGTGAAGAATCAAACTGTCGTCGATGAGCCGCCGTCCACCGACAGGAGGTTGAGGCTAAGGGTGGGGTGGGGTTGTAATATGGGATTTAAGGTTTGGTATATGGCTTAGGTATAATTTGGGGTTTATGGTTTGGATTTAAATTCAAGGGTATAATTTAGGTTTTTAGTTTGTTTATTTTTATTATAATCTTATGTGGCATTAAAATATCAATAAATTATGCCACATCATATGAAAATATTTATAATATAATCCATGAAATCATAGAGTGACCAAAATAGGAACAAAACAAAAGTTGAATGATTAAATTGAAAATTTTAAAAGTATAGTGAGTAAAATAGGAGAGAAAGTAAAATTGAGTGATGAATGGTATAGTTTACCCCTTATAATAAATACATTAAATAAATCTCTAATAAAGTATTTACTTCAAAGTTCAGAAAACGTAGTCGAACCTTGCTGCTCAACCGTGAGTTGGGTCTCCTTGATCGAATCAACCGTGACGTAGGGTCTCCTTGATCATTCGATCAAAGTTGATAAGGGAATATCCTCCAGTACTTACGGCAGCTTCAGCTTTAGTCTTCCATTTCATGGCCTTTTTCCTTTTCATTTTCCCATTATCACCTTCCATCATCTCCCTAACAAGTGTCTCCACATCGTTACGCTTTACGTCAGGGTTGATTTCCATGGCAATACCCCACGTGGTACACGAATATCGACAATTCGTCTGTTGATCAGCGAAGAAAGGCCAGCAAATTAAAGGCACACCTTCGGTAACAGCTTCCAACAAAGAATTCCATCCGCAATGTGTCAAGAAAAGACCAATCGCTGGGTGGGACAGCACTTGCTGTTGGGGACACCAGCTTGTGATGAAGCCCCTTCCCTTGATTTCCTCCGTGAATTCTTCCGGTAAAACAGCCGACTCACCGATTACGACGTCGGGTCTAACTATCCATAGAAACGGATACTTGCTGTTTGCGAGTCCCCAAGCAAATTCTTTTAGATGATGATTTGACATCACTGTTATACTCCCATAATTCACATACACCACTGAGTTGGGTTCCTTCGTGTTAAGCCATTCGATGCAGCTTGTGTCTTCCTTCCATAGGCTTGAATATAATCGGTCGTGTTGGATTCCGGGTGTGTTAATGTTCCTACTGAGAGAGGCAAGCGGACCAATTGCGTAAACATTGGGGGATTTGTCTGCAAGAACTCGTAGCACTTCTTTGTCGAACTCATCGAAAGTGTTTAAGATTATTGAAGATTTTAAGCATTCTTGTGACGCTTCCATGATGAAATTCAACATGATGTCGTTGGGATCGGTCGTTCTTATAAAGCTTGGAATATCCTTGAGGCGCATAATAGGCATACCAGGGATATCAATCGGCATCTCAAGTGTTCCATCGCTAAGGTAGTCTTCATCTGCAAGGATTAATAACATCAGATAAATAGAAAATTAAGTTACAAACCGAAAAGAAAACCTAGAATTTGTATTATTGTGACCTTTGAATGGAACGATGCCTCTTTGAATAAGTTCTTTGTACTGAAGATATCCCAGAAGGCTAACAGGTGAAGAAGTCCAGAGTACAACATAAGGCACCCTAATGACTTGAGCAGCTTTGGTTCCAAAATTCATGATTCCATCATAAACTATGCAAGTAACGGGGGGCGATTCGGGTGAAGAATTCAACTTAGATAGTAGTTCCAAGAATGGAGCCAAACAAGTTCTTTGTGAATGGCATACTGCTGGAATGGACTGAGTTGCATCAGAATCAGAAGGTGGCAGCCCATCGGGAATGGTTTCGAACCGGAAATCCGGCAGACCCTTAATGGCTTCTTCACCTCTAGACCGGATGAATCGCCTATGGTTGTACTCGGAGTTGACAAAGGTTATATGGAAGCCTCTTGAGTGCAATAGCTTAGCCAGTTGCATCATGGGGTTAATATGGCCTTGTGATGGGAATGGAAGGAATACTGCATGTGATTTAGTGGATCCAGTTGAAGCCATCTTTGAGCAAATAAGCAATGAACTGAAGTGGAACTTCAAGGTATATATGATGAAATCTCACTTCCTAACTTGTGGTAACATTCATATACAGAACATGAGGGGATAAAAACAATAACGCAAAGGGAAATTATGGTGTAAAATAATCGGATTATGATAGTCTTCATGCATGTCTCTGTCACCTGTTATTGTCGAACTCGCAATCCAAACCAAGGCAGGTTTCTGTCTTTTATTGATGAAGAGATAACATAGATAATAGAGAACGAGACGCTACAACCAACCAAAATTTAGCTGATGTTCAATCCTCGTTAGTTTAAAGAGATGGTGTCCATAACCATAAATTGAACTTGCTTGGATTGTGGTCGGAAATCTTTTATTTTTATTCGTCTTTTCTTTGTATAGAGAGTTAATTAGGTAAGATAATATTAAAACTAAATTGTTTTTGGGTAAAGTACACAAATGCTCCACCAATTATAGGATATTGCATTATTGAGTCCCTCGACTTTTAAAAGTTATTAAATGGTCCATCGACTATAGGTCATTGTTTTGTTGAGTCCCTCGATTAATAAAAGTTATAAAATAGTCACTCGACTATTCATATGTTCTAAACTCATCCTTTTCTGTTAAAAAATTGAAGGTCGTCTAAGTAGGATGTTAACTTGCTAATTGGGATATGATAAAATCATATTGTGATGATGTCTACTGGCATCATCGTTGCTTTCAAGCACTGGCATCGTCGTTGCTTTTAAGCACTGGCTCGATGATATAATGTTTCAAGCACCGACATGATGGCATAATGTAAACAAAAAGTCAATTCCCAAAAAATAGATCTAATAGTTCAGGGATCATATTTTATTATATATCAGTCAATAAGTTAACGTCTAGCTTAGACGGCTTGCCAATTTTCTAACAGAAAATGATAAGTTTAGAACATATGAATAGTTAGGTGATTATTTTTTAACTTTAAATAGTAGAGAGACTCGACAAAACAATATCCTAAAGTCAGGGGCTATTTGTATACTTTATCCATTATTTTTATATTAATATATTTTTTGACAGTAAGTTATTAGTATGGGTAAATACATCCATTGAAAATTAACTTTACTATATTCATTGTAAATTAACTTTACGTGGCTTGGTTCAAATGAACATCTATTTAACTTCAATACAAAAGGACTATTATTTACAATTGATGTACAAAAGAACTATTATTTATTTACCTACCCTTTTATTCTCTTCATAATTCTTGTACATTTACAATTGCCCTGCATGTGAATATAAACAATACATGATCCATCTCTGAAATCTTCATTTCCCCCCCTCTTTTATGGCAACGTAAGGTAAATAAATGGCTGACTTATATGATTAGAACAACAAATGTTTAAACCGAAGCAGGGAAAAAAGGGAAAACTCTATATGACCAATGGCTGCTCTTCCTTTGAATTCCAAGGTTTGTGTTCACTGCTGAATCCCTTAATTAATTAGCAGCAACCACGTTTTGGAGCAGTAACTCCAAGTCACTCAGTCTGCGTACACAATCAAAATCCTAAGAATAAGAACAAAAGTTGGCAGGAAGATATATAAACAGCCAGAAATGAAATGGCGACATACATACCTCACTTTACTCAAATCATTGCTATAGAATCTGTAAAATCCTGAATTGAAATGGAAAAGAACTCAGTTACTCGGTGAGCAAACCATTGAACTACAAATTGTCAGTCATGTTACTCAAACTACGTTTGTTAGTGTTGGTATTTGTGCGACACGGGTATGTTCAATTTTTTTCAAGTTTTTTCCGTGGAATCGGAGGGTCTCGGAGAGGTATATCCCCATACATGTGTTCGGATACGCATTGGACGATAATGCTTCAAGAAAAATGACGAGTCGGAGTACCATAGGCTGTTATTATCACTTCTAGACTTTACCTGGTCAGCAGTTGAGGAAGTGTAGGTAATCACACATGACATCCCAGCTTTTGTTGCTGCCTGCACAGATGGAATAAGTTTGCTTAAAGTTTTAACCATGGTCAAGACACTTGTTCCAAACCAGATTTGAAGACAATTTCATTAAAAAAGGTACAAAAACAAAATCAATTTGATACAGATTTGGCTATGATTAATGAAATTGAGTCATTTTATTATGGCCAAGAATTGTGTAGAATGTAACTCAAACTCAAGAAAATTTATTTGAATATTTCTGATGAATTGAAGATAAACTGCAGATTGTTCCAACTGTTAAACCAAATTCAGAAGTCATCGATCTAAAATTAACATGGTATCGATTTTCCAGAGAATAGTAGCTTCACCTGAAGACCAATCACACTATCCTCTACCACCAAGCAATCTTTCTCTGACACACCTAATCTCTGCCATAGTAACATTTCTAAATCAGATTCTGATATAGCAACCAAAGACTGAATATGAGAAATACGAGCAAGGGATATACAGAATTCTCTAGTATGTTACCTTCGCAGATGTCAGATATATCAATGGATCTGGCTTCTTCTCCTTCACATCATCACCTAAAAGCATAAAGAAATGAGATTAAGAGTATTAAGGATAGAGATCACCATAAAAGAAAAACAAAGGGAAAAAATGACATCAAAATGGGCCATAAAATCTCAGCAACGACCTTTGCTTAAACTAACCAGAGGGACAAAAGATCAAAAGACAACCAATAAGGTTATATCTTTATGTACAGGAAAAGTTTAGGAGTTTAATTCATGTTTAATCAAGGTTATTTATTTAGCTTGTCTAGAAGAATTTCATGAGAGGGAACTCAATTCATTTAGAAGAATTGCATCTGAAATTTGGTTGATTATTTAAAAGAAAACTGAAGAATTCCTCTAGCGAGAATGCACCTCATTTATCTATCATGAAGCATATGCTGACTTGTGAAAGAACTGAATACATGTTTCGATTCAAATAAGTCTAAAGCACATCTAAAAACCAAACCAGCAGATGAAGAAGTACTCAACATACCGGCAAGGAAGCAATCAAGACCCCCAAATCGCTCCTATTAATGGGGAAAAATAATAAGGAAACAGAAGTGAGGATATTTGCTGATCAATAATGTATATTGTATGGAATCAAAACTGTGGACACTAGCACCAACTTGCAATGTGTTGTTGTCTGCTTTCAGCTAAAATTCTCACAGTTTTGCCTCGCAAGTGATGTCTTTTGTGGGACAATACTCTGAGATTCGTGAGTCGAAGCAGACAATATCTTGCAAGTTGGGTGCAGATCACCACAAGAACATACCATTCCGATAAGGTTCTCAAGACAAGTACAACTGAACTTTTAGTTGCTGCAGAGCAAACCGCTAGCATTTTACCCTGTAAGAGTGGAGAAAGAAAGTGGCATCAAAAAGAGCTGAATAGAGGAAATTCTGCACGATCCAATGCAGCCAAATATGAAGTAGTTCAATGAGTTGACAAGAAGAGAGAAAACAGAAACAAAAGCCTGCATTGCTTCAATTGTGGAATGAATGAAAAATTGAAAGAACATGAAGATGATCCTCAATTAAAATGATAAACAAGTAGTATCTTACAGCAGCCTTGGCCTCATCCAAAAATCTTAAAACTCCAGGTCTAGGCTCCACCTGATCAAAACAATACCACTCTCTTTAGAATCAGAGAAGTGAAGGATAAAAGAACCGCAATGCAATAAAGTGTAATTTCTACTTACTTACAGTTCCAGATTTGATTATTTCTTTATACCTTTCAGTCTTCCAGTCCTACAAAGATGTAACAGCACCGCATACATGAGCTCTTGAATAAAGAGAATTCCATAGAGAAAAAAAAGGTAATTCCAAAACAAAGACCAGATTAAAGCCTAATTGGACCCTTGTTTCCCCCAACTTTATAAATTCACTTAATTCAAAAGGAAATGATAATCATCACTACTACATTACATTGAGATAATAATGATAATAAGAGTCTATATTTCAATGTCGATTAATAAAAACTAGAAGTAGAAAAAATTAATCAGATGGCGAGATGTGATTCATTGACAGTCACTACATCTACATCCAAACTATAATAATAATACCTGAAGAGTGTCAATTAACTTGGCTCGTTCCTCGTCACTCTCAGAAGGCGTTTCAAATATGGTAGAGGATGGCCATCCATGCTCCTTGAAATACCTTCAGAAATACCAAAAATATCCATTAAACCCATTACCCATCAGCAACCAAAAAAAGTAGGACAAATAAAAGAAACCCAGAAATATCAAAAGCAAGAAAAGCAAGAAAAGAAGAAAAGAAGGAACCATCTCATCTTGGGTTTGCCACCACCAATCAGATTCTGTAGCACGTCATAGAAATCAATGTCCCAACTAAGGGGTTGTGAAGAAGGAGGGCAACGCACATTGAAGTGAGCGAAAGCATCGTTGTAAGCTTGGCGGTGCAAGTGTTCGGATTCTAGAATGACACCATCACAGTAAAAAATGAGAGCTTGAAGAGAATGTGAAGCTGAGACCGAGAGTCGTCTTGGCTTTGTGGTGGTGTTCGTTAAGGAAAGTGACGATAGCTTTTTGGTTTGGAAAGTGAGGAACTTTGGGGAGTAAAAGAAGAGGGAAGATAAGTTGGAGGATAGGCTTTGAGGAGAGATAAAGAGCGTGGAGTGAGACGCCATGGCCGCTTTGCTTCAGTGGTTGGTCTAAAATGGAGAGACTGAGTTTTCGAGCTAAAAAGGAGGTGAAATTTGGCGGGTTTGCTTCGTGTGGCTGAGGATATCTCTACAGTCTCGAGGCTGCTTTTTAAAGAATTTAACCGACATAGGTTTCAAACTCTTTTTTATTAGCGAAGTGCAGATACAACCCTTCCTTCGGAGTTCGTAAAAAAGAAAATTACCCTTGCTTTCACAAGTTTCAGTGAATCGGATTCAACTTCTATCTTCCTTGCTCCAGTGTCTTCAGCTACACCATGACCCTCCTTAACCAAAATTCACTAATATTCTTCTTACAGCCTGCAATTACTTTCCCTTCATCAGTTCTTAAAATAACCCCAATACCTGCTTCTCCTACTCTATCGATTATCCTTCCAACACATGCCTCAGGAACTGGTATCTGACTTTGTACGATCTCTTTA